CATAATGTGTCCAAAGTAGGATAATTTGAGCCTGGTCATTTATGCCTTGAGTGAGAACTCTTGGGCCGACTTGTTCCATGATCCATTTGTTTGTTTTCTTGGCTATCCATGGTATTCTCAGGAGTCTTCTCCAACACCAAAATTCAAAAGCATCAGTACTCTTCCTTTCCTGTTTCTTCAAAGTCCAACTTTCACTTCCATAGAGTATCACAGGGAAAACCATTCTACATTGGTTACAAAATAGGAGGTTTATATCAGACCCACCAGATGGCACTAGAGAGTGTTTACAACTTTAATATAGCAAAAGGGATTAAGGTAACTATCCTATAAAAAGAGAAACAATATATATATATATATATATATTATCATATACAATCTACTTAGTTGAATTTACTCAATTCAATACTGAGTTTGAAAATAATTACCAAAATGAAAATAAATATTATTCCTCCTGACCTTTAACACTGTTTCCATGAATAAGGCGGAGGTCTTATATAACTGAAGTCCTCAGCTTTTTTAAGTACCCAATGAATAATGTGAAAATTGTCAAACTGTGCTTGTATATATGCTGCATATATAATTCTAGAAGAGTGAAGTTGTTTTTGGCAGCAATAAAGAGAATTGTACATACATGCACTTTTAAAATTTCACTCCTTTTTCTGTTGGTCAAGGAAAGGCATTCAGTACCCTGGAAGTAATTTGTGATTTGTTGGAGATAGCAATACAAGATCTGAAATTATGTACAAAGCTTTTAAAATTCTCCTTAATTATTACTACTTTTTTTTAAAAAATGCATTGGCAAAAGTGTTATTGGTGATAGAAGCTTCATGATGTAACAAGTAGTATATGTTAAAAGCACACTGTTGTCTGGTTTTGTTGGACATAAACCTCCATAATTTCCATCCAGCATTGAAGGGAATCCGGCTAGGAAGACAGGTGGAAAGTCATCACCATGTACAGGCAGCCATTCAAAAGGGAGTGTTTGTAAGTCAGGATTGCCCATGGCTACAATGCAGTCCTCTAATCAACTGGAAGGCTGAAGTGTGTTTCTAGCAATGCCACCAGAAGGGGTTGAGCTTTTTCTCTTTGTCCAATTTTGCCTTCTGAAGGTGGGTGTGGGAGCAAAAGACCAACCGCTCCATTTCTAACCATATACCCTTTAGTTCTCCAAGAGAGCCCCAAATTATGCCATTGGAATTCAGTTGCAAAATGACCAAATTTCAGGGTGCAGTTATAGTTGATTAGGGAGGATGGACTAAGGCTGGGAATGGTGTCTTTCCCATTCCTAGTTCCACAAATTTTGAGAAAAAGAAATGACAATGCCAAAATTCAGTCATTTTGCTGCCAGATTTTGCAGTTGATCTGTGGGTTTTAGGAGTCCCATACAGTCAGTAGATTGCCTATTCGTGTTGTAAATAGATTATAATTCATGTATCAGGACAAAAATTAGTGAGCTCATTGCTCAAGATCCCCTACTGAAGTTTTGCTATTTTTGATAAATATGTCTGTAGTAATGTTTTACATTTAGGACAAGCAGTGTAATCAAAAGCATAGATTTATTTAAGGCATATCCAAGAAGCTCACATTGTAGAATGAACCAGTTCTAGCTACCCTTGTAAAGGAAAATATGGTTGTATGTTAGCTTTTGCTACTGCCCTTCCTCTCCTTATTCCCCAGCACCTGTTTTATTGTTCAAGATTAGGTAGCTATGCAACAGCAAAACATCTGAAATACCTAAGCTCCGATTCTGTTTTATTCAAAGTTTAAAGAGTCCTTCAGGTCATACTTAGTTTACTGGTGATTAAATAGATCTGTCCATGTGGTCTCATAATTGGGGCAGAATGTAAATGTTCTAAA